CTGCCTGCTGCTTTAAGCGCCCGGGAATTTCAGAGAGTGAGTCCCCCTGAAAGCAGCTGCCGAGTCCAGGGGTCCCTGGACCTGGCAGCAGGCCTGTGTGGCTGCCCTCCGTGGGTGCCCAGGGGTGTGAAAGGCCTGGGGCTGGGGGAGGGACCCAGGCCTGTGAGCTGATGAGGAAGCCAGCCAGCTGTGGGTGGCATTAGGGGCTGCGTTTTTAACTTAAACATTATTTTGACATAATTTTACATTTAGAGGAAACTTATAAGAATGGCAAAAAGAATTTTCACATCATTCACCTAGATTCCCCAGGTGTGTGCTCAATTTTTTTTTTCTGAACCACTTAAGAGTAAGTTGTAGGCTTGCCCTTCATTCCTAAGTAGGTTACTACATCCCCAAAGACAAGGCCTTCTGTGGAACCGCAGCGTGGTGGCTGCAGCCAGGGCATCCGCACGGCGTCGTTCTCTGATGCGCAGACCTTGCACAGGTGTGCCCACTGCCCCAGTGATGCCGTCAGAGCGGAAAGAACCCAGGTGACCCACTGCGTTGGTTGTCGTGCTTCTGTGATCTCTCCTGCGCTCTGAACGGGCTGTGGTCTTCCTTTGTCGCATGTCTTCCTTTACCGTATGATGCGGCCTTCCTTTGTCATGTGACAGCTGCAGCAGGGGGCTCCGCGCTCCTGTCTGCGCCCCTGCAGGCCCCTGGGGAGGGCAGGTGAGCCTTCCCTGTGCCTCAGTGTCCTGGAAGCCTCCCTGTGGCTCCACCTGCCACTGGGGAGATGGAGACTTGCCGGCTGCTGCAGACGTCAGCCCCGCCCGGAGGAGGTGCCCTGTCACCTCGTCGGTCTCAAATCGACAGCCACCTGAAGGTCGGAGTGGTTTCTTTGTTGGTGAAAACAGCGACTATAATCATGCGCGATGGTTCAGGTACGGGCTCTTCCTGCTGAGACTAAAGGCACCCTAAAGGCGGGGCCCGAGTACCTCAGAGCACCCCGTTCCTACACAGACACGACCTGAGAACCGCCCGGGGCCACCCTGTGTCCAGCCCAGGTCCCGGGGATTCTGGTGGCCGAACGCTGGCCTGGCTTTTGTCTGCACTGAATAGTTCCTGCCAGGTGGTCGTCAGAGTGCCTCTGAGAACGGAGAGCGAGGCGTGCCTTGAGCCCACCCATAGGACAGGACGTTTGTGTCCTTGCTGGACAATAGGTGAGTTCAGTTTAAATGTCTGTGTGTGCAGGAGGCAGAGGCGGCCTCAGGCGTGCTCTCCCTGCGGCCTGGCGGAAGGCTGTGGGTCACCCGCCTCCCTCGGCGACTTCTTCCCCAGCAGGTGCTGTCCACCTGGGGTGTGCAGAGAGGGCACCTCCCTCCCACGTCACTGCGCAGCGTGGAAGCCCGCAGCCCTCTGTGACTCTGAGATGCGACGGGAAAGTTGGATGTGTCCCGCAAACACATCCCGTAGCTGTGCAAGGGCAGGTCCCGCTCAGAGCACACGGCGGCGGCTCCTCCACGCAGCAAGCGCTGGCGGTCTCCTGGCACCTGAGAACCCTGCCCGCGCCACTGCAGATGGGGCCCAGGGCAGCGTCAGGAGGGGCCTGGCCTGAGGTCCACAGGAGACCAGACAGTTGGGACACCTCCTGCCGCCGTGGAGAGCAGGCCCACAAGGCACCATGGAGATGGAATGTCTCCGTCTGGGTGGCTGCCGGGCAGGCTAGGAAGCCAGTGGTGCCATGGATGCCACCCCACCGCCCATCACTTTGGGTGCCTCCTTCCCTCCTCTCAACCTCATGGAGAGAGCCAGGTGTGAGCAATGGAGGACAGATAGCTGGACAAAGGCCTGGCTGGAGATGTGGGATGGGCCCCAGTGCTGGTCACATGTAGTCCTCGCTCCCTGCCTGCAGGGCAGACGGCTTGCTGCCTGTCCGGGAGGGAGGCGCTCCCGTGGGGGGCCGTGTCGAAGGGTCTCCGCACTCTCTGGGAGGTCAAGGCCTTGTCCATGCTCTGCCCCTCCCTGGGGGCAGCTCTGCTCCAAGGAAGGGCTGCTGAGACCTTCCTTTCCCCGGGCGGTCGGAGGACCTGCGGGAACGGAGTGCAGTGTCTCTGCTGTTGGGAGGAAGCCGCAGGCCTGGGTTAGCCCTGGCTCCTGTGCCCACTGTGTGTGGCCTTGGTGTCGCAGGGACAAAACTCAACTGTGACTCGCAGAGGCTGGGGCTGCTGAGCGTGGTAACCTGGGGACAGTCCTGCCTGGCACTGCAGGGCCTGTGCTGGCTGGGAAGGTGGTGTCTGGGACGGGCCTCTGGGCCTGGGGCCCATGGACAGGATGGCTGAAGCCGCAGCTGAGGGTGGAGCGTGACAGGCCTGGGCCAGGCCTGGGTCCCGTAGCTGCAAGGCCATGTCCGGGCTTTGTCCACTAGAGAGACCGCCATGGACCATGGTGTGACTGGTCACTGCGCTGGCTGGTAACAGAGCATTTAAGTGGCTTTGTGTGGCCAAGACCTTCTCTGAAGATGAAAAGCATCGTCCTCTCAGGAGGCGGCCACTCAGTCCCCGACCACGTCCGGAGCGGAGACTCCGCGTGCTGGGGGCCAGCGCCTCTGGCGGGCTGGGTGCCCCGCCTGCTGCACTTTGAACCGGGAGTTCCCAGGGCCCTCACTCAGACCTCCCAGCTCTGCAGCCCAATCTGAGCATCCACTTCTTTTTTCTTAAAGAACACCACAAATTTAAAATATATATATATATATATATATATATATATCTCAGAGAGGAAGGGAGACAGAGAGAGCTAGAAACATCAATCATAAGAAAGAATCATTGATCCCCTGCCTCCTACATGCCCCCCACTAGGGACCAAGCCCACAACCTGGGCATGTGCCCTGACTGGGAATTGAACCGTGACCTCTTGGTTCATAGGTCGAGGCTCAACCACTGAGCCACGCAGGCCGGGCTGAGCATCTAGTTCTGAAAGACGTCGTGAGGACCAGGGCTCCGTGGGATGAAGACTGACCAGGGGGGAGAGGTGTCACTCAGAGACTGGCCTCAAGTCCCTGGACAAGTGGGGGAGGTTCTAGAAGCAGACGACAGAGGCCAGGCCACTTGCGTCCATTCCATCCAGGCCAGGGCCTGGGGCGCGGGGTGCAGAGCGCGGGGCGCGGGCGTGGGGCTGGGGTGAGCCTGGCAGGAGGTTTCGAGAGCAGGAGCAGGGCTCGGGCTGAGGCCCTCCGGGTGGAGTCCGGCTCTTCCTCTCGCGCCGCGGGACGCAGGCTGGCTGCCCCTCAGTGCAGAGTGGCACTCGGCGCTTGGTGGCTTGGGACTTTACATTGTATATTAAACCCAGGGCCGAGAGCATAGAAAGGACTTCATCAGTTCCTCTGTCTCCTTTTATGGAACTGGGGTGCCCGGTGGAGCTGGGCATAGGAAGAAGGTGAGGGCTTGGTCACCAGAACCAGGGGTCTGTGGGGACAGCCTGCTGCCTCAGGGCTCTGCCCACAGGCCGGGCCAGGCAGGTAAGCCAGGATGTCTGTGGAATGGGCCATGTCACCACCTCAGATTCCCTCCTGTTCCCACCCACCTGCTCTGCACCCGACCCCTCGCCTCTGTGGATGCCACCACCTCCAGCACCTGGCCTCTGACCTCCTCCTCCCCCTTTCGCCTGGGAACCTGCCAGGAGCTGCTCCTGCAGGCCCCAGCCTGACAGGGCGGGCAGGCCCAGCATGGCTGAGCCAATAGCCTGGGGCCCTTAAGCTCCCTCTGACTGAGGTAGGCTGGTCCCAGCACGCAGGGCGGCTGTGCACAGGGGTGCGGGCCAAGGGCCTGCAGCGAGGCTGGTGCAGGGCAGCCAGCGCCTGGCTTTGGGAGGAACGGAGAGCTTTGTCCAGGCGTTGTTCACCCACAGCCTTCGTGCTGGCTGTTCGCACGCGCAGTGTCACGAGCTGCACAGCGGCTGATGGCCGTGTGTGGGGCTGACCTGACTGGTGTTCTACGTCATGCACAGCACTGTGCTCGGTGCTGCTTTCAGCGGAGACCTAGAGCCCGCAGGGCACAGAGGAGCAGACCAGAGCGCCAGGGGGTCGCTGTGCCCAGGCCACCGGCTAGTAGGGAGTCATGTATTCGCCTTTGCACTCCACAGGTGCTTAGTGCGTGTTTGTTAGGCTCCACGAGTAGTGGCTGACATTGCCGTGTACCCCACCCCCGGTTCACCAGTGCCTGTTTTTCGGGGGACTGTTTGGGATCAGTGGGGCAGGGTCTACTCCTGGGGCAGGGCTTGGTGTCACACTGTGCCTGGGACCCAGAGCCAACCGTGGGTGTGGCCAGGTGGGGGGGGCAGGTTTGAGGAGGGCCTCTCACCTGCCACCTGGGAAGGTATTTCGCCCCTAGCCTTCCTCGGCTTGGCAAGAAGAGCGAAGTGATTCACTTCTTGATGGAATGCGTGCGATAGGCTCAGCGCCCCGAGTGAAAGATTGTTAGAAAAAGAAAACAGCAGCCGAAACCGGTTTGGCTCGGTGGATGGAGCGTCGGCCTGCGGACTGAAGGGTCCCGGGTTTGATTCCGGTCAGGGGCATGTACCTGGGTTGCGGGCATATCCCCAGTGGGAGATGAGCAGGAGCAGCTGATTGATGTTTCTCTCTCATCGATGTTTCTGACTCTCTGTCTCTCTCCCCTCCTCTCTGTGGAAAATCAATAAAATATATTTTGGAAAAAAAAAAGAAAAAAAAAAAAAAGAAAAAGAAAACAGCAGCACCGTCCCCTCGCTGAGGGCGTGCGTGTGGCATCCTGCTCTGTTGCTACTCGCTGGGGCCTCAGGCATGGCTTTGCTCTGTGGGGGATGTTTGCCATTTTTCTTTGTATGTTGTATTTTATTTATTTATTTTATGTAGGAAAACAATAGTGTTTTTTAAAATTAAATTTATTGGATTGACAATGGTTAATAAAATTATATAGGTTTTATTAAAATTATATGGGTTTCATCTGTATATTGCATTGTGTTTGTATCTTTTAACCTTCTCAGAATATTTTTTTAAAAGATTTTTTATTGATTTTTAGAGAGAGAGGAAGGAAGAGGCAGAGAGGGATAGAAACATCAATGATGAGAGAGAATCATTGATTGGCTGCCTCCTGGCCGCCCCCTACCAGTGATCCAGCCTGTGACACGGGCGTGTGCCCTGACAAGGAATCGAATGGGCAACCTCCTGGTGCACGGGATGATGCTCTACCCACTGAGCCACACCGGCCAGGATTCTCGGAATATTTAATAGGAGCTGGTAAATGGAGCCTATTCCATCTTTGTGGAGTTCTCAGCTAACCACCTCCACCCCCAGGACCGCGAGCTGCCCGGGTGCTGGTGCTGAGCTGCACTGTCCCCCCTGCCACCTGTGCAGTGGGGTGAGGAGCCCGGGCTCCGCACCAGAGACTTAGCTCTGACCCCAACTCTCTGTGCGGCTTATTGTGTCTCAGCGCTGGAGGCTGATGTCCCCGATGGCGGGGTCAGCCCCCCCGGACCGCTCCAGCGCAGGACCCTGCGGCCTTCCCGCCTCTGGGTGTCCAGCACCCTCGGAGCCGGGGCTGCAGCAGCCTCTCCTCTCACAGCGCCTCCCCTCCTGCTGTCTTGGTCCAGACCGCTCCTCTGGACATCGCACCAGGCCCACCCTAGCGGCCTCACTGTAACTGATTTTCCCTGCGAAGGCCTGAGTCCCAGCTCAGGCCACATTGTGAGGCAGCAGCTGGGGCCCAGCTTGCCTGCTTTTTGGTTGCGGGGAAGGAGACACGCGGAGAGCCCTGTGCTCCTTCGACAGCTTCCTCGATGTCTGCTCACCTCAGCGTCCCTCGCTGAGAAGGGGCTGCCAGCACATACAGCACTGAAGGCGCAGGGCGGCGGGATGAGGGCTTAGTCCCGGGGACCCAGTGCATGATGGAGCCGGGCACTGACTGGCGGTGAGTGGCTGCGAGGAGAGCAGCCAGCACCGCGGCCTCGTCTCTCAGCGGCAGAATCCACGCTGCGGCTCTGAAGCTGCTGGGAGCCCACGCGGGCCTGGGCCCAGGACAGCTCCACGGAGAGGCGAGCCCTCCGCACCGCCGGCCGCACAGCTGCGGGGACCGGGCAGCCCCAGGGGCACCTGCTGGGTTTGGAAGTGCTTTTCTCCATCTGCTTCTTCGGAACTGTTGTCACACAGCAGGCGCGGGTGCTGTGGGAGGGGCTGCACCCCCAGGCAGCTCCTCACGGGGGACCAGTGCCAGTCTCGGCCTCGTCCTGCCCACGGTCTGCGGAGCTGTGACCCTCCACGAGAGCAAAGCACACGCGGCCTCGTCCTGCCCACGGTCTGCGGAGCTGTGACCCTCCACGAGAGCAAAGCACACGATGGTCTAATGAGCGCCAGCGATGTGTTCTCTTAGCTCCACTCACCTTTGGCCAAAGATGCCCCCAAAGCTTGACCAACAGCTTGTCTTGTTGGGGGGGGGGGAGGCGGGGCTTGGCGGGCTCCTCTGCTTCCCTGCCCTGCGGAGCCCAGCTCCCAGCTCGGGGCTCAGACCCACAGAGGACCAACCCCGCTGGCTGGATCCTAGAGAAGCCAGCACACCCCCCAGCGCAGCAGGGCTACGGGACAGGCTGGGACTGGGGTTCCTCAGTGCCCTTCCCAGGACTGACCCCTCGGGGACAGGCGAGGAGGCGGCGGCTGGGCACGCCTGCCTGTGGGAGCCCAGCAGTGACCTTTTAGTCACTTTGTCACTGACTAGTGTCCAGGAGGGCGTCGGGGTCCTCATCTCTGAGGCAGAGCTAGGGTGGGTGAGCGGGAGAGGCATGGACCGGGGTCGGGTAGAGCCCGTCTGCCACCTGCCGGACTCGCAGGCTCCGAGAAGCAGATGCCCTGAGTTGCTGGGATGTAGACACTAAAAGGAGGGGGCGGGGTGGTGTGCAGCCGGCCCTGGAAGTGGGCCCGGGCCGCCAGAGGCTCTGAACCGAGACGCCGGAGCCAGTCATCGCGATCCGTTGTCAGTGCCCCCTCACGGTGCGGGTGCGCCCGCCTTTCGTGGTGCGTCACGGTACCTGCAGGAAACGGTTTCTCACTTAGCAGCCCGTTCGATATGGGGTCAGGGCACGTCTCACCGAGTCCTGTTCCCAGGCGTCAGCATGTTTGACGCGGCTTTTCCTGGAGTGGGGCAGCCAGGTGGCGGCTGGGACGCCCAGGGCAGTGGGCTGATGCCCTGCGGACTCTGGGCAGGGTGGGGAGTGCTGGCTGCTGGGACCACACCCGGAACTGGCATTTGAAGGGCTCTGGGGGTGAGAGGCTGTCCTGTGCGGGGAGCCTGCGTGCTGGGTAGGCTTAGCCAGCGTCTGGCGGTTATGAATCCACACTCTCGCTCACATCTTTGTTGCGGTCCTGTCCCTCTGGGGAAGGTGGGCTCTCAGGTGCCGGCAGTGACGAGTGGCTGTGGCCGCGCTGAGCCCGCAGGAAACCGAGTCTGAGCCCCGCGGGGCCTGGGCCGCAGGAGCCGCCGCTGTCTCTGTCTGACGCCTTCAGTGTGTCAGCCCGGGAGTCCGTCCAGCACTTGCTTCTCTCCCTGCAGGAGCCAGACTCAGCCCCAGGGAGCGGGCGGCGACTGCCAGCCCCCAGGGCAGCGCTGGGGCCTGGGCTCAGCGCCAGGGGCGATCCTCCCGCGCAGCCTGGGCTGGCTGGGGGTCAGGGACCACTTTTTAATAAGCCCCCTTTCTCAGGAGTCCAAAGGCCATTTAACAACTCAGCTACTGTGGCTGTTTCCAGCAGGAGCGCTGGGGCAGCTCACTGGGTGGTGGGCACCGCGCTGCAGGGGAGTCTCCGTGTCTCTGCGAGGCGGGCGGCCTCCGCGAGGGGCGGTGCTGAGGGCTGGCTCTGGGCGCGGACGGCCCAGGGGTCTCTGCCGCCTCCTGTCACAGAGATGGAGCGGCTTGGCGAGGGGGAAGGGGGAGGCTCACGGTGGGGCGGCACCCCAGCTCTGGGCCAGGAGGAAGACTGGCACTAAGGCAGCGGGAGTGCATGGAGGTCGTCATGATCTGGGTTCTTCTCTCTCAGCGGGGCCCAGGCTGGAAAGCGAGCCACGTCCCCCCCCCGCTACCCTGGGGCACTGAGCGGGAGCTGGGCGCAGAGCGCTGGGGTGGACAGTGCCCCCGGGAGCACCGGGACTCCCCTCCGAGGACTGGGTTCTCCACCCTCCCACCCGCACCGTGCATGCTGCCTGCGCCCTGTAGCGCAGCCATGCCCCGGCACTGGCTGTCCCAGGTGAAGGGCAAGGGCAAGGCTGAGGGAGGAGGACACCCATCCCCTCAGGGGAGACAGTGGGCCCAGGGAGGGAAGGCTTGCGGCTGGAGGAGCGGGTGGGCTGGGCTGGGCGCCCCGGGGCAGAGTGGCACAAGGGGACCCGCTTCCCGCTGCCCTCCCACCCGCTCCGGGTTCTGTGGGAGGTTGGTGGGAGTGGGCGGCCCTCGGTGTCCTGGGCCCTTGGCATCCCCATCCCTGCCCAAGGTCCCGCTGACAGCCAGGGCGAGGAGGAGGGAGCGGAAGGAAGGCTGGAAGAAAGCCTCCACCACAGCTGGGATTTCCTCTGCACTGAACACAAAACGCACCCTCTCCCGCGGACCTCGGAAGCGCCACGCGCCCCTGGCCTGCCCCGTGGAGGCGCCCCAAGCCCTGGGTGCTGTGCCCACAGCCCGGCCACGCTGACCCCGCCTGCTGCGCAGGCCACGAGGCACACAGCGCGGCCGCAGGACTGGGGAGCCATGGAAGCTGAGGACCGGCCTAAACACGCCCCTCAGTCCCTGGCACCCACGGGGATTACCCCTGGGGCTCAGATGTGGTGAAATGAGGGATTTTCAGGGTTCATCATGGGGCCCTGGGAGAGGGGCCAGGCGGGGAAGGCCCCGCCGCGTGCAGGAAAGCCGCGTGCAGGCGGGTGGTCGGGCGGCCGCGGGGAGGACACGCTGTGCGGCTGGGAAAGGTAGGAAGCGTTCTGCCCGGAGCCTCCGGGAGGACCAGCACTGCCCACGCCCGGTCAGCGCCGAGCCGCCAGCCTGGCCGCGGACGGACCGGGCGGGAGCGCGGGTTGGTGCTGTGTGAGCCGCGCTGGCGGTGGTTTGTGGCAGCAGCACGAGGACCCCATGCAGAACGGCTCACCGCCTTCTCTGCACACCGACGAGCCCTTGCCGCCCAGGTTTCCCTCTGGCGTTGGTACTTGACTCACTAATAGGGAGGGAAGGCCGCTCTCCTGCTCTGGGACGCAGACCTGCCTCCGCTGCGGCCGGCTGACCATGGCAGGCCGCAGACCTTCCCATTCTACAGGTCTGATTGCCAAGCTGACCTTATGGCCTTAACGAGCACATGCTGCCTCGCAGGCCCAGGGAAGGCCGGGCTGAAAACCGGCCCCAGGGAGGGCCGGAAGGCGGGGAAGAGGCGGCCACTCCGATGCCAGTTGGGAGAGTTGCGTAAGGAAACTTGGTAAGTGAGGTGCGTGTGGGGTGGCTGCGGACGAAACGGGTCCCCATGCTGCCTAGCAGGTGCCAAAGGCCTGTCCAGGGCAGGAAGGAGAAGGCCGCGGCGCCCGAGGCGTGTCGCAAGGCACCGGAAACTGCTTCGCTCTCTGGCCAGGTCGGCCAGGACAGCCAGGAACCAGCATGTAGAGGGAGGCGGGAGGGCGCAGGTTCCCGTCAGAACCAACAGCAGTGAGGCTCCACCGCCAGGGAGGTCTGCGGTCAGCAGCCTCCGCTCTGGCCCGGGGCTGCCGGGGCGCAGACAGCGGCCCTGCCCGGAGCAGCCTCCTCACACTGCACCTTCTTTTCTTTTTGAATTTCTCTTTCTTGTTGGAAGCATGACAGGTGCCCCCCCCCCCACCCTCCCAGGGCCCCTCCCCCCACTCCCTTGCTCTCTCTGGTCTGATACAAGTGAGTGAGTCTGTGGGGACAAGGAGAGAGGCGGCTCATAAAGCCAGAGGGAGCAGTCCCTGCGACAGCACATGGCAGGCCAGCGCAGCCCTCCCCGCTCCTGCCTGCTCCGCCCGCCTCTGGCCTCACATCAGGAGGGAAGGGTTGGAATCTGGCCACAGGGTTTTCTGAGGATTCCGCTGATTTCTGAGCATCAGCAGGTTTGGGAAAGACCTGGGTCTAAACACTGCAGCCTCATTGCTTCCATCCTTGCAGTAAGCGTCCTGGGTGACTTTCAACTCAACCCTCAGAGGATTTCAGATATTTCGGAACATCCCGTGCCCGGTCTCCTTCTCAGGAGCTGGTGGGGAAATGTGCTGAGGGCGGCCGGGCGGGGAATGCGGGAAGGTGGCCACCGCTCCCCGGGGAGGCAGACGCTGCGGCTGCTGGGGGTGAGGCGGGAGGGGCCTGTTCACACAGTCCCTGGTGGCGGAGGGGAGAGTTGGTAAGCGAGGTGCGGCTGAGGTGAAGTTATGTAAATTCCTCTTTCGGGATCACAAGACCAGCAGTTACGCCTCAGTGCGGCCGGAGGCAGATTGCGTGATCTCACTTCCTCTGCTCGGCCGCGCCGAGCTGTGGGCGGCCTGTGCCGTTCAGTGAGCAGGGTCCCAGCGGAGGCGGGCCAGGCGCACGGAGCATCTGACGCCTCTGAGGGCAGCGAGGCCTCGGCCATTCGCATGCCCTATATCCTGGGATGACGACGGTATTTTGTGAGACTTTCCTGCTGGGGTGAATTCACACCTTTGAAACTTACTTGGCTTGACCCCAGGCTATAGCTTCTTCTTCAATCTTACCATAACGCAATTATGGAACAAATACAGATGTTCCCCCGGTCCTTGGAAAGAGAATACACGTGGATACAATGTGACGTTTACCCCTGCTCAACGCTCCATCTCGGGGGTGTTCACAGATCCATCAGCGTGTACCCCGTCACGACGTGACAGACCCACTCATACCGCTCCCGCACCCGTGGCCCCTCAGTGCTCTTTCCGGAACGCGGTGCTGGCTTTGGCCGCCTCTGAGTTTCCATCTGGATTCAGCACTGCTTCTCTCGGGCTGCGTTTTCCTCGTTCGCCAAAGGTGAGCCGAGGCTCTGGGTCCTTGGGCTTCAGCCCGCAGTCCGGGTCTGAGTTCCCGTTTCCTCGGAAAGAGCCCCTGCATCCGCTTTTCACCAGCAGAGCCTCAGCACCGAGCACATCGGGGTGGGCGCAGGGCCTCCCTCAGCGCGTGAGGGGCATCCCGTCCGCCCCGACAAGCCCCTCCGCCCTTCGAATTCCACGGAAGGAGGGGGGATGGCGGGGGTGGGGGAAGGGGAGCAGGAGCTGTCAGAGCCGCTCTGAGGGAAGCCTGGAGACACATGAGTTGTACAGACATGACCTAGAACCAAACTCTCATGTTCAGAGTACAAGCTCTCAGTCAGGCAAATCCAGGTGGAAATGAAGATTTAAAAATCACCCCCTTCCTTCAGTTAGCAATGGACGTCCTGTAAACAGGACGCCAGGATCGGGCACCTTCCTTCACCCCCAGGAGGCCCAGGGGACCCCGGCCACCCACTGCGAGGCCGAACATCCCCCTCACAGGGCCGGCCGGGGAAGCACAGCCACGGAGCACCGCCTCGCCTCGCCTCGCCTCGCCTCGCGGCTGGAGGGACGCAGTCTCAGCGAGTCACAGAAAATAGGGAAGCTCACGCACTTGCCTTGGCCACTTCCCCATCTGAGTGAGGCGCATCAGCACGAGCAGCTCCCTGCCAGGAGGGAAAAGGTGTGTCCACGCCACCGCCGCGGGCAGAGAGCGACACAGGCGATTAGGAAACCCGGGAGGACGAGGATATATATCCTGACCCGACGCTGAGCTTCACCCAGGCGAAAGCCAGGCCTGGCAGCCTTCCCGGACGGAACGGAGGAGAAGCCACAGGTGGAAACGCAGCTGCAGGTAAGTCGGAGAGAGTGAGCGGGCTGGAGCGCTGGGCGGCAGGACACAGGGTGCCGCCTGTGGAGGGCCCTCGGGCGGCTTCCCGCTGCCGCTGGACCCAGGTGCTCCTGGGTGACCTGCCTCGCTGTGTGCAGGTGACCATGGCTCTGGGCCGGCAGCTCTCTCTGCCCCCGGCCCAGGGGCATCTGACACCTCCTGCGAGAGAAGCTGCCGGGCCAGCGCTCGGGTTCGGTCAGAGGGAAGGAGCTGCGGGACAGGTCCCACCGAGGAGGCCCTGCCGCGGGGCTCACACGGGACCCAGACTTCCCTCTTCGGCGGGGTTGTGGGGTTTTCTGCGGGGCCTGTCTTCTCTTTAAAGTAAGTACAGCTTTTCTGACCCGCACGCCCGCTGGCTGAAACCAGCTCACGGGTTGTCTTGGGAAAATGTGAGCCCCGAGGCCAGAGGTTTTGCCTCTGATGAGCAGTACGATGTCCTGTCTGTGTTCATAAAGGGGCTGTCTGAAATAGGCTGTACATCAGTGCAGGAGCGTCATTGCAGGAGTCACCCACCCAGGCCAGCGGCTTGCCAGTAATGAGCAGCCAGGAGGGTTAAGCTTACCTTGCTTCATGCTCATGAGATAATAATAAAACTGGGCACGATTCTTTAAAAACACTTTTACCCCCCAATTATCATGAAATTAATGACACAATTTACTTTTACCCTCCCTGTGCCTTAGTTTCCCCATCTGTTCAGAGTGATCTGGAGGAGGAGGGCCTCAGGACTCGGGAAGCAGGAGGGTGGCCCTGGCCCGAGGCAGGTGCTGCAGACGCACTTGTGCTCACCATGAGACACCCCCCTCCCCCCCTTCGCCCCCCCCCCCGGAGCCCACTCCCCTGCAGCGGCGGGGGGGGGGGGGCCCAGCTTGCCATCATCTCATCGTCTCTGCAGGGCCCCTTCTATAGCCTGAGGCAGTGCAGCGGCTGGCTCCCTGCCCCCAGCGGGGGTCTGCCTGCTACGCCCCCTTCGCGCCCACCCCCCCAGCAGGCATCCCACCCACTGCGCTTGCCCTCTCCCTGGCCTGCTTTTCTGGGCTCTGCCTTCCCAAGAGAACAGAGGGTTCCTTGCCACCAGGTCGGTGAGGAATAAAGGGAGCCCTTGCCTTGAGCTTCACCGCACGTGGTCTTGTCTGCTTCAGGTGCCTTTCGGCCCCTGTGACTGTCCTACAGGCGAGAAGGAGGCCTCTGTCTGCTTGCTCCTGGGTGGCCTGGGAGCGTCTTCCAGGCCCTGAAGCAGGCCTTCCCCTCAGCAGCCCACTCCCACCGACCTCCAAAGGCCAACCCTGGACCACAAACAATGAGGGGCACAGAGGATTCACAGGCCCCTCCCCCCCTCCGGGCCCTCCCCCGCCCCAGGATTGCAGTCGGCCTCTGGTGATGAAGGACTGAGTGGTGCAAGGGGCACAGATGTGGGTTGTCTTTCTATGTGGTCACTCCCTGCTCTCTCTATAGGGACCCTTGATCATGACCTGCTCTCTTGATGGGACATCTGGGGACACTTAGGCCAGCGATTCTGAAACCTGACCTGTAGCATCACCTGAAGGGCTTGCTACAGCACAGTCTGGGCCCTGTCGGACGTACTGACTCTGTGTGTGTGCATGCGTGTGTGCACGTGTGTGTGCACGTGTGTGCGTGCCCATGTGTGCATGCCTGTGTGTGTATGCACACATGTGCGCGCACACGTGCGGCCGGGACTTGCATCTCTAACTCCCAAGGCAATGCAGATGCTGGTCTGGGAGCCACTTTGAGAACCACGTCCTTGGGAATAAGACGAGGTCTCACGTCCAGTGGCAAACCTACGAGTTATTCAAGGACCAAAGCCTTGGAGGCCGTTTGGAAACAGAACTCACAGAGCGCGTCCACGGCCCGACGTGAGTGCTGGAGAGGGGGCTGAAGCAGGTTATTCTGTGTGACAGATGGAGAAGCAGGCTCAGCAGGCACAGCTGAGCCCATCCGCGTCTGAAACTTGGCCTCAGCGTCATCGGTTCTGTCCTCTGCCCACAGAGTGCTGCTTAAGGGAGGAGGACGGCAGAGGGTGGGAAGGGTGGAAGTCTGTGGCCAGCTGATGGGCCGGTCCCCGTGGGGCCGTGAGGAATGCAGTGACGGGTAGATGTGGGTTCTCTTGCCCCTCAGAGACCCTGCGCCAGTGACTCTCGGCCTGTGAGCATTAGAACTGCCCGGGAGCTTTCATAAACCTGTGCCAGGGCCCTGGACGTCGGGGGCTTGGGGTTGGAGTCAGGCATCAGTGCATCGAGGCCGAGCCACTGCCTGCTGCACCGCTCACCCTCCTCCCTGAGACTTATTCTCCTTCCAAACCTGTGCTCTGTCCTGTCGTCTGTGTGATGGTTCTCTGGGAATAAATGGGCATTAGACTCACCAGTAGCACAATCGAGAGAGAAGTCTGAGAAGCTGTAATCAGGCCCCTGCAAGCGTTTCTGACACATGCTCTAGCGAAGAGCCTCTGTTTCACAGTGAGCATGAATACTTTCCTACAGGCAGGAGGCAAATGGTTGTGGCACTTGACTTTGGGGCAAAGAGCCAGTTTAAGACGTGGCTGTTGCCTTGCTATTTGGCTTAGAAACATAACTTTATGTTTCTAGACGCTAGTTTCACTCATCAGAAGAAAAGGGTGGGCTAGAGAGCAGGGTTCTTAGTTACTTTTAAGAATCTCTGGAAGGTAGCCACACCCCAAATGTGCCTGCCATGCCAAGAGGAAATTTAAGAATACGTGGACTTCACTGGGACTGCAGACGCGAGTCCACCCGGAGGCCTGCGGGCCGGGCCTGTGGCCAGCCGATGGGCCCGCCCTCGGACGGGATGGTCTGTGGAAAGGAGCACGACGCTGCGGCTGAATGATCCATATTTACAGGTGGGATTGGCCCGAATCCCAGTTTGTTAGCTCAACACCTGGTCGTACAA